AATGCTTTTTCAGCATCTATGGAGATGATCATGTGGTTTTTGTCTTTCTTTTTGTTGATGTGGTGGATGATGTTGATGGATTTTCGAATGTTGTACCATCCTTGCATCCCTGGGATGAATCCCACTTGGTCATGGTGTATGATCCTTTTGATGTATTTTTTAATTCGGTTTGCTAATATTTTGTTGAGTATTTTTGCATCTATGTTCATCAGAGATATTGGTCTGTACTTTTCTTTTTTTGTGGTCTGTTTGCCTGGTTTTGGTATTAGAGTGATGTTGGCCTCATAGAATGAGTTTGGGAGTATTCCCTCCTCTTCTACTTTTTGGAAAACTTTAAGGAGGATGGGAAATTAAACCCTTTTGTGCTTGCAAGTGTTACTGTGGAAAAAAGTGACAAGGCAACTCACATAATGGGAGAAAATATTTGAGAGCCGATAAGAGGCTCTGTGGTGGTTGATTTTATGTGTGAGCTTGGCTAGGCCACACGTAAAGAAAACCAACGAAAGGAAAAACTCTTTTTACTTTATTGCATAATACTTCTGACCCCGGATGTGAGGGTTTTCCCACACTAAACAGTTCTCCAGTTTACAGCGGACCCTGACTGGCTGTCCTATGATGTAACTCCATTCTGACTCTGTCTGCCCAGAGTTAGCTCAGATCCGCAGGTTAGGGCTCAGTCCCAGGATACTGCACCCCCCACTCACCCGCCCCCTCCACCCTGACTTAGATTCCAAGCTGAAGTCCATACTGTCGTTGTGCTTCTGACCAACTGGCTATAAATCAGAAATTCCCACAACCTTTGCCCTGGGTTGGATAATTTGCTAGAACAGCTCACAGAATTCAGAGACTGTTTATTTGCTAGGTTACCAGTTAATTGTAAAGGATACAACTCAGGAATAGTCCATGAAAGAAATGCACGGAACAAGGCATGGGGGGAAGGGGCTCGAACTTCCATGACCTCTTCAGGTGCACCAACCCCTAGCACTTTGATTTGTTTACCAACCCGGAAATGCTCAAAACCCCTTTAGTTAGGATTTTTATGGGGGCTTCATTATGGAGGCATGATTGATTAAATCATTGGCCATTGGTGACTGAACACGATCTACAGCCCCTCTCCCCTCCCTGTTTTCCGCAGAAGCTGTGCCATTTTACTTCCCCACCAACAGTGCAAAGGGTTCCAATTTTTCCACATCTTGGACATTTTTTATTTTCTTTTTTCTTTTTTGATAGTAGACCTCCTAATGGGTATAAGGTGGTATCTTATGGTTTTGATGTGCATTTCCCGAATGATTAAAGATATTGAGCATCTTTTTATATGCTTATTGACCATTTGCACAGTTTTTTGGAGAACTGTCTATTCAAGTCCTTTGCCCATTTTTGAACTGATTTTGTTGTGCTGTTGAGTTTGAAGAATTTTCTATGTATTCAGAATATAAATCCTTTATCAGGCATAAGATTTGAAAGTATTTCCTCACGTTCTGTGGGGCGTCTTTTACTCTGTGGACAGTGTCTTCTATGTGTCAAATGAAAAAATTTTATTGAAAACCAATTTGTCTATTTTTTTCTTTTGCTTCCTGTGTCTTGGTGTGGTATCCAAAAAACCATTGCCAAATCTAAGTGATGAAGCTCTTGCCTATGTTTTCTCTTAATTGTTTTATAGACCTCTTATATTTAGGTCTTTGATGCATTTTGGATTTACTTTTGTGTGTGGCGGTGTTAGATAAGTGTCCACCTTCATTCTTTTGCGGGTGGATATCCAGGCCTCCCAAAACTATTCATTCAAAGGACAGTAACATGTATAATTGTTGAGTCACTAGGTTGTATACCTGAAACCAGCATAATATTGTATATCAATTGTATTTCAATAAAAAAAATGAAAAAAAAATCACCCCAAAGTAGTGTTATAAACCATGAACATGGGTGTCTGATTCATTTTTCTTTTTCAGTGTCTTCGAGCTTGTAGTCTTCATTGTATGCATCCTTCACATCCTTGGCTACTAATTCCTAAGTTGATTCCTTTTGATGCTTTCGTAAAGGGACATTGTTTCCTGAATTTTCTTCTCAGACTGTTAACTGTTAGTGTAGGAAATGCAACTGATTTTTACGTGTTGACTAGTGTCCTGCTACTTTGCTGAATTCATTTGTTAACAAGTTTTTTGCTTTAACAATTTTGGGGGAGAATCTTTAGGGGATTCTACATAAAATCATATCACACTATATATGATATCACGTATCATACTACACATATGTATATGTGTACACATACTACATATACATAGACAAACAAAACATTTTAAATACGTACAAACTTCAGTTTTCTCCTGAGCCATTTATGAGTAAGTTACCAGCATGCAGCCTCTTCACCTCCAAATACTTAACTCTGTATTTTGTACAAACAAAACATTCTCACTATATACATGATAAGACAAGAGGTGAAAATCGGGAAATTAATACAGATGGATCATTGCCATTAATTGGCAGAACCCAACCATCCTTACCAGGTGTGCAAATAATGTCTTACTTTTCACCGTATATTATGAAATTCGTGCCATAGGGGTATATTACCTTTACAATTTTTTTTAATGTTCAAAGACTACATGACACAGACAAATTTAAAAATTTTTTAATTCATTTAATAAGAGCCCTGGAACCAGTAAATGACACTTTCTCGTCTCCATCGGAAGGGAAGGACCCTTCGTTCCACAGTCCACCCAGAAATACACTCAGAAGGGCCACACGAAGAGCGACGGCTCCATTGGAACTTGGAAAAGTGCAGAAAAAGTTCAGGTCGTTTCAGGATTCGAACCCGCGCCCAGAATAGGTGTCCCGTTCAGGGTGCTGCCCTCTTTTTCAGGCTAATCAAGGTGACAGACCCGAGATCCTGCATGGATGGCAAGAGTGCATCATCCGCAGCGGCCAAGAGGGGGCGACCTGTCACTAGCTTTCCAGGGTTACCGGACCGGAAGCCCCAGGCGTGTCCCGAGGGCAGTGGCTCCTCACCTTTTCCGCCCAGGCCTGAGCCCAAGTGCCCGCCGGGTGCTGCCACCCGCCGGCTCCACCGCCCGATGAGAGATGGGGCCGCTGCCGAAGGCGGGTGGGGGCGGGGGGTGGCGCTCGCTTGCTCCCCATGCCCCGGCCATTCGGGGGAGACCTAGTCCACGCCCCCCCGGAGAATCCCCCCCTGTCGGTCGCGGGAAACTGGGCGTCTGTCTGCGCGCCCGCTCCCCTGTCCCCTCGGGAGTCATGTGGGTGGAGCCGGGGTCTCGGGGCGGCAGGGGAGCCGAGGTGGAGAAGGGTGGGAACGGGGCTTGTGAGGGCAGCGGGGACGCAAGAGTCTGCCCCGGGTGCGCGTCTGCCCTGGGGGGCCCACGGCGGGGGCCTGTCCCGACTCGGGGGCACATGAGAGCCCCCACGACATCCCGATCTGCTTCACAGCCCCTCCCCGCCGGAGCCGGTTCCAGGCCCCCAGAGGGTAGAAGGGGAGGCCGGCGCGCAGCCTGCACCCTCTGAGGCTGGGGTCTTCAAGGACCAGGCGTCTGGGACTCAATGCCCCGGCTTGCAGATGGACAGATTCGGAGGTTCCTCAGATCCGCGGAGGGGCAGCCAGGGAGGCCCGAGCCCTCGCCAGCTCCATAAGGTCACCCCAACCCCAGTGCGCGGGCTGCTTTGCAAAGTGCAGCAGGAAGACAAGCCAAACACCCACCCTCCAAGGCCGTCCCAGGCAGCAGTGGACCTCGCATCCTGCCCGAATCCCCCTCGGCCCCCGAATCGTTGTGTGAACCTTAGTGCCTTCACCTTTCTGAACCTGCTCTCTTCTGTATGAAGGAGACACAGACACAGATGAGGGGCTAAGATTTTATCTGCCCTCCAGGGACCCTGGCTGCCATCTCACCGGCCTCCAGCGGTGGCTCAGAAGACAGTCACGGACTCCAGCTTCAGGTCCCCGCGCACCTCCAGCAGGCGCACGCGCGCTGGCGGGATCCTGTGGCGGAAGTGGTGGTAATCCAGTCCACAGACCGTCACCTGCAGGGGCGGGGGCCGTGCTAAGGTTGCAGAGGCCGCCTGCGGGGCCATTCTCGACCCCACTTACTTGAGTGACCCGGGCAATCACTCTGCTGGGGCTCAGGTTCCTCACTGGGACTATGGGCTAATGTTCATTCTAACCTCTTGGTTTGAGAATTAAATGAGTTTACCATTCAGCGCACATGTGCGTTTTAAGTGTTGCAGTGGCCTTCTTACCACCATTTCAGCGTCCACTGCCTCCCTCCTCACAGCAGACTTAAAGTGGTGGGTGGGCAGCCCTGGCGGTTGAGGGTCTGCAGTGACCACTCCCTGCCGGCCTTGTCTCAGGGTCCCATCTCCCAACATACCCTTGCCCCTGCCACAGCCCCAAGCTCAGGCAGGAATGCAGAGGGTGTCGGGTCTGGGATGGAGGTCTGGGCCACGTCTCCCTGCCAGGACACCCACCCTTTGGGCTCCTGGCTCTGCTCACTCGCCCTTGCCCCTGTGCACACCTGCCCTTCTGCCACTGGTGGTTTGTGGCAGGGGAGGAAGAGGCCTAGGGACACCCTGCCCAGCCCTGGCCACACATTTGCTCCTCACCACCATGAAGGGCCTTCCTAGCCTTCCCCAACTGCAGGAGGGACCTGGGTCTTCGCCCCCCACCCCTGTGCCAGGGACGCACCTGGAAGCCATCTTCCTGGACAATGAAGAGCAGTTCGAAGGGCTGCCCAACCTGGAAGGGCATGCCTGAGCCAAACTCCTCTAGGCCCCAGGAGCCATGCTCCCGGGTGTTGAAGACCACAACACACTGGTCGAGCCGGGGGTTGAAATGTAGGACATAGTCATCACAGGGCCCACAGATGGACCGCAGGATTACAGAGAACCTGGTAGATGGAGGTGGGGGTGAGTTATCAGATTGATGTCAGGAGCCTAGAAACACCCAGGCCAATGTCAAGGAGTCAGGGATGGGGACTCATGATTTTCAGAGCACACACATTCTCAGGAATGTCACACACAACAGGAGTGGCTGTGGACTAGTGTCCAAAACTTTGGGTGGGCCTGGATGCACATCCATTTTGCGAGAGTCAGTGTGCTATGGTCTGGGCACTCGGCATCCCCAGATGAGTATTCAGGCGGTAAGGGTGTCTTGGTGCTGACCCCTTTACTCCATGCAGATGGATGCAGCTGCTGCTTCCCAGAGGAATCCCCGTTCTCAGAGAGCTCAAGACAGTATCAAGGAACCCAAAATATTCAGGCACCATAGGTTCCCAGAAAGCCTGCAGTTCCCTGACACAGGAAGTCATAGGATTGAATGCTTAGGCCCACATGATACCCAGGTCCCTTGTGAAAAACAGGAGACATTTCCAGAGGTCCTGGGGACTCAGACTGGAAGTCATAGGTTTTATGAGGGAGCCATGAGTTTGCCCTGGAATCACCAGATTATTAGTGAGATGTAGGGACCCAGTTTGTACTGTCTTGGGATAAATAAGTAAAGACATCAGATTCCACAAGGTCAGAAATGGTCTAGGGAATCCCAGACCCTGGTGAGCAAAGGTAGCTCTAGGGCCTCCTCTCAGGGCTGTAAGCAGCTGGGGTCCATAGAACCTGGATACCTCCCGTCTCTTACAGCTGGGACCCAGACTCACCTGCCAGCCCTGCAGGGGACAACACCACGGATTTTGATGACTGTGTCAATTGTGATGCCATTGGGCAGCAAGGTCTGGTTGAGCAAGTCCTGTTGCAGAAGCAGGGGTGTGGGGGGCAAAGTTACCCAGGCAGACAGAGACAGATGGGTCAGGCCTAGGGAGAAAACCAGCAGCCCCCAGACCAGCAGAATCAGAGAGAAGAAAGGGCACAGAGAGAGTGAAAGAGCCAGAGACAGGGGAGGGGGTGGAGAGAGAAACACAGGGCATCACAGAGAAATATTCAGGGAGAGGGAAACTGAGAGGAAAGACCAAGAGGGTCATGGGGGCATTGGGACAGGGGCTCAACCAGAAGCCCAAGCCCAGGCCCTTCACGGCCCAGGAGCACCCACTTTGTCTTCTAAAGCAGGAGACCTCAGCCAGGCCCCAGCCCCACCCCTGTGCATCCTTGGCTCCAAGATCCCCCAACACCCTCGGCTCTTGGAGCACTCACAGAGCTCCCTGCCATGGCTGGGGTAGGGGACAGGTGGGTGGGAGGTGTGGCTGGTGGGACCTTAAGTAAAGGCAGGGCGTGGCTGGCCTTGTTGACTCACAACCGCATTCCTCCCCTCCTGTCACACCAGGCACTCTGGCTCTGTGGCCCTGCTGGCCCAGCACCCATTGTCCCACTGTCTGGGGCCTGTGAACCCCCTCCACTCACTGAGGGTCCCCAGGTCACCGTCCTCTCCTTTGAGCTGATACAGGTAGCGACAGTTACTAATGCAAGAACAGGGAGCAGGCTCACTGAGCCACCCTCCACCCAGCCCTGTCTTCCTGCTACCTGGCAGAGAGGATAGAACCTTAGGCCCATTTTACCTTGGAAAACGTGGGTCCTGAGAGGCCAGGCTGGGGGATGGAAGTGGGGACCCCTCTTTCCCAAGTTGGGACCTGCTCCCTAAGGCCAAGGATGTGTCCCCACAGAAACTGGTGCATCTGTCAGACTGGCCACGGCACAGCCAATGGCAAGAGGAAAGGGGGAGCAGAGGGGCGGGATTTCTTGCCTGGGCTTCAGTGCTGTATCGTGGTGCCTGGAGGGGCCTGGCGGTACTAAGCTCTCAGCAGGTGTGGGTGGAAGAGGGAGTAAAATCCATTCAGTCTGTTATCAGCTTAGTTTCTAGGTCATTTCTCGTAACTCGGATTGAAACCGTGCCTTGCAGGGGAACAATCACAGATTATGAATCAATACTGTTGAGCTTCTTTTTCAGACAAAGGCCAGAAGCCCCCGAGCCACTGGCAGGTCCTCCCCCGAAACCCACCTGATCCAGGTGAAACCGGGGGAGCCCTCCAGCTCATGCAAAGGACAGATTCCTTCTCCTGGTCGCTGATCTTTTTGATGCCCTAGAAGTAAATTATCCAGGCAAAGAAGTAACAAAGCTGGGGAAAAAGGTCTGAGGTGAAGGGTACCCTTAATTATTGTAGGCAGGCAAACAGTAAAAGCGATCCAGCCTCAACCACAGAAAACATGTCCCAAATCACCATCAGTTAATGATGTGGAAATGACTGTGGATGGAGAAACCTGAGGAGGAATTTCCCAATTTAGGAATATTTTTTTTTTACTCTTTTAAGAAATCAAAATGGAGTCACATTTGTCAGACACTTGATATGGATTTGGGCCAAGCACGTCCTCCCTCCAGTGCGAACTTGAACATTAAACTGTCTGAACCACAGCATGTCAAGGACCAAAGTAACCAAGTTCTGTTGACTGTGACCTTGTAGTTTTTCAAAATGCAAGCTACAAACTCGAATTTCATAATTCTAATATTTCCCTCATCTATCTTTGCTTCTTGAAAGTGCCACACATAATTTTTGACAACTTTTGTGATTTTCCTTAACCCTGTGAATTTTGCCTTTATAAGCCTCGTCCGTTTGTCATCTGGTGGAACACAGTTCAAGCACACCTTGACTGTGTCCCCTGGGCTTCAGACCTAACAAACCCGGAATAAATCTTTTCTGTTTAATCTGATCAGGATCTTTGCTTCCTTTCTTGGTGGACATTTCTTGGCATAGTCAGCAGGGTCTAGAGCAACCACCCGGACCCCAGTGCTGCCAAGGGCTCGTGGAAGTTGCCTCATGGAAGGAGACCAGTACTCTCTGACGTCTCCCCCGGCAGGCTCCGGCGCTCCAGCGGTGAGCCCTCTGGGATCCGAACCTCCCGGACTTTGGTTGAGGTTCAGATCAGACCAAGTCATTTATTCACCTGTTTCAGGTCATAGTTGACTCTGTCCTCTTCCATTTAGGAAGGAGGTTTCCACCTCTACCCACAGGCAGGAGGTTCGGGTTTAAGATTCTTCTCCCTCCGATAAAAGGTTTGACTTTAAAAATAGATAATGGGCTCATCTTGATCTAAGGAAAATAACAAAGAAATGCCTCCTCCAGGGACACTAGCTGGTTTTACATTTTACACCTATGGACCATCCTCCTACAAATTTTAACCATGATGGATCCATGTCATCCTGTGGGAGGAGTCAGTAACTTCTTGGACAGTCTTCTGTGTGAGGATGACCTGACAACTCTTGCTAACAGCCATGTGTGGGAGCCTTCTTAGAATGGGCTCTTTCAGTCCCATCAAGCCTAGAGAACAGATGTTGCAATCTTTTTCTATAATGGCCACACAGTAAATATGTTAGTTATTGCGGGTGATCCTGCCTCTGTCAAACTACTGAACTGTACTGATGAAGGAAAAAAGCAGCCATCAGGCAACACATAAATGAAGGAGTATGGCTGTGTTCCAATGGCGCTTTATTTACGGACACTGAGACTGGGATTCTATAAGGTTTTCCACGTTGTGAAACAATATACCTCTTTTAATTTTTTGAGGTGTTTCAAAGTGAAAAGATCATTCTTAGCCTGTGAAACAGGCTGTGCCTGTGCCAACTGAACACATAGCCTGTGCCTACTAACACAGGCAGTGGGTGGGTTTGTCCCACAGACGTATTCGCCAAACCTTTTTGTAGATGACCAGTCACTGATGGTTGGACTGTCACTTCATGGAAAACCAGAACCACAATCCTTTAGATAAGCGAATCCTGGGTTCCTAACTCCAGATCCTGTGTAAGATAATAAATATTCATTATTTCATGGGGCTAATTTATGGAATAATTTGTGAAGAAGCACTAAATAACCAATACTGTCAGAATGGATAAGAAGACAAGATCCAAGTACATGCTGTGTACAAGACATGCTCTAGATCTTAGACACAAATAAGTTGGAGTCTTTTAGTGTTTTGCATATACATACAGGTTTATTTAAATGATTGGATCTATGCTCTTGGAGACTGAAGCAAATAAATTAAAAGTATAAGGATGAGAAATGATATATGGTGGAAACAGTAACCATGAAAGAGTAAGAAAGACAAAATTGCTATCAGACAATAGATATTTAAATAAATTTTACTGGAGACAAAAAGGGACAATTCAAAATGATAGTCAATATTATAATATGTAAGTAAATTATTAAATATATATATCAAATACACACACACAAATTTAGCAAGTAAAAATGTATGCTAACAACACACCTGAAAATACACGAGAGAACTGAATGGACAAATAGACTATTATCTAATTATAGTTATGAACTTGACTACCCCTCTTTCACTAAAATTGATAGAAAATACAAACAGAAACTTGTAAGGATATAGAATAGATAAACATTATCAACCAGTTTCACCTAACGAATAACACTCCACCTAACAAAAGCAGAATGTACACTATCCTCAAGCACATTAGGAAAATTCTTCAGTGTAGAACATTGCTAGGCCATAAAATAAGTCCTGGTAACTATACAAATTGAAATTCTACAAAGTATGTTCTCCAACCATACTGGAATTTGGTTAGGAATCAACATATAAAGAGAAATTCAGGACATCTGCAAATATGTAGAAATTAGACAACACACTTGTGGTTGACCCTTCTGCCAAAGAAAAAATCAAGAGACAATTTAGAAAGTATCTTGAGCTGAATAAAATCAAAACACAACATAACACAAAGAATATGATGCAGCTACAGCAGCATTTAGAGAGAAATTTATAGCTTTAAGTACATAATAGAAAGGAAGCAAGGCCTAAAATCAACTATCTAAGCTTCCACCTGAAGACATAGAAAAAGAAGAGAAAATCAAACTCAAAGCAAATAGAAGAAAATACTCAAGATCAGAGTAGAAATCAAATAAATAGAAGACATAAAAACCAGAAAGAAAAATCAGTGAAACCATCAGTGGTTATTTGAAGAGATCAATAAAATTAATAAACCTTAGCTAGACTGATCAAAAAAGAAAAGGGAGAGACAGAAATTACTAGCATCTAGAATAAAGGAGGGAATACCACAATGGTTCTACAGAAAATAAAAAGGAGTACAAGGGAATATTATGGAAAAGTTGAGGCCAACAAATTAGACAACTTAAATGAAAAGAAAAAATTCCTAGCAAGTCAGTGATGATCTAAATGTGATAGAGAAGAAATGGAAAATATTAACACCTATAGCAAGAACAGCAATTGAATGAGTAATTTCAAAATGCTCTTACAGGAAAACCCATTCCCAGATGGCTTCACTGGCCAATTCCACTAAATATTAAAGTAATGCCAACTCTACATAAACTCTCTGAGAAAAAAATGAAGCACAGGGAACAATTCCATAATTATTTTATGACACAATTATTTTCCTGATACCAAAGTCACACAAATGTATCACAAGGAAAGAAACTAAAGACCAAGGACCTTCATGAACATACATGTAAAAATCTTTAACAAAATATTTGGAATCTGAATCCTTACTATATACAAAAATGATTATACATCATAACTAAATGGGATTTCATCTCATGTTGCAAAGTAGGCTTATATCAGAAAATTAAATCATGTAACGAGAAACGAGTCCACACAAAGGCGCATTGATACCATGCTAATTCCTGATCACCAACACTGGAAACACCTCAAATGTCCACCAACAGATGAATGGATCATCAACAGATGAATGGTATGGTCCTACAATGGATTACTATTCAGATAAAATGAATGAATGAATACTGCATGCATACATACATGAACTTTAAAAATATTGTGCTGAACTGAAATTGGCCTGGCAGAAAAGAGTATGTACCCTCTTCTATTAATGTTAGAGCAGGAAAGCCTACATTATTGTGGCAGATAGCAGATGAGTGGCTGCCAGGTGCCAAGGATGTGCTTGGGAAAGGGTGATGGAACTTTCCTGCTCCTTGATGGCGCAGTTGGTGGCACAACCATGTAGGTTTTCAAAAATTCATGGAATTGTACACCTAGAAAGGGTGAATTTTATTATATGTAATTTTGTTATATGTGATTTATTATACTTAATAAATGTGATGTTAAAAAAATCAGTAAATATATGTATTCCAGTATTCCTCAAAATGTAGAGTGTATTATATAAACAATTATATAAAAACACTGGAAGGAAAGACATGAAAGTACTAACAGTAATCATTATCTGGATGGTTTCAAATTTGTTATTTAAAATTCTGGAAAAAGCCTGCATATATTTTATAATCATGGAGATTTTAAAAAACGTAAAAACTTTTTTCTGACAGCTGCCAGGAGCTTACTGCAGCATTGTTTGCATGTAGTGGATGACGGTCGTGACACCAAGAGACATACAGCAGGGTTCAGGTGACATCTGTTGTGTCATTTCTTACCATGGAGCACTGGGCAGCCAAAAAAATGAATGAAGCTGAACACATATTTTGCTAAGTGACAAAAACTCAGTGGATAAAGGATATTGCCATTTATGCAAGGAGGAAAGAACATTGCATACACATTTAGTTAACCTTAGAAATAAAGCTATTTCAGTTATTTATTCCAACAGCAGGAAAAAAAAAAGCTTTTATTTGGTAACAGCAGAGAAATGCAATCCGGGACAAGGAAAGCTATTGCAAAACAGTAAGCATATCCAGAGAACAAAGAGGGACACTCCTTTCGGGAGT